TCCTCTTTTCCTACCTGCCTCTCTCTATGTGATCATAACACAGTTGACACCATCATCCCCAAATCAGGACCTTCTCCCCTGCTCATCCCATCCCACGCCCACACAGGGGGCTCGGGGCCGGCTCTCCCAGCTGAAGATTCAGTGAACGTTTGCTTACAACATAGAGGAATAACTCAGTGTGACATCCAGAGTTTGGGGGAGAAAAAGAGCAACTGAGCACCACAACAACTCTAAGGGATTAAATAAATGCTTTTGGCTTGCTGGAATCCTACCTTACATATTCTTGGAAATAAGTGGGCCAGAGGCTCACATCAAGAAATCTTTTACAACAAAGATACTCAGGTTGTAATGTAGCTGTTGTTACAGGATTTGACCTGAATAGGAGAAACGAAACAGAGCTTTCTCAACAGAGCTCTTTGAGGATGGATGGTGCTAAATCCCCTGGGAAACAGCAGCTCTCTAATAAAACTTTAAAGACACTCCCCCATTCCTCCCACATGGAATTCTTGCTGTGAAAACTAGAGAGAGAGACAAAAATATGCCTGGGAAGTAGAAAAGTTCATGGACTTCAGAGTCAAAGGGATCAGAGTACAAACCCTGGCCGTTCCACTAACTACTGTGTGACTTTCAGAGAACTCAGTTATGACTTCCGAGCCTCAGTGTTCTCATCTATGAAATGGATGGGGAAACCTAACTCATAGTTACTGTGAGGGCTGAGATCCTATCTGCAAAGCACCAGATGCAGACCTTCGCACATAGCAAGTCTTCAGTCGGCATTAGCCTCTCCCTCGTCTCTTCTGAAGTCTGCAATTTTTATGCAAGTTTCTAAACATCTTAAGAAAAAATTTTAATTGCTTCAGTGAAAAATACTGCCCCTTCTGGTCCATGAGCCACAGTAGAAAGACTCCTGGAAAGAGAATCAGAGGACTTCGGTGTGATTGTACTTCTGCTGCCCACAAGTTAGACCCTCTCTGGACCTGTCTTCCGGGCAGTAGGAGAAGGCTGTGTACCATGCTCCCCAACCCAGGATGGTAAAAGGATTAAATGAGATGACGTAGGAGAAAGCAGTGCCCTGCTGCTCTGCAGATGAAAGGAAGTACCATCATTCGAGTGCAGTTCACAGGTAGACATGGGGACCCCAGACCATGGAGATGCAGTCTGTGCGTGAGCCACCCCCGAGAAAACAAACCCCAGAAAGGAAGAGATGAGTCAACGACAGGGGTGGGGTGAGAGGACTCAGCAAATGGTCCAAGTGCAGTAGGGTTGGTGGGTGTGGTCTCAAGTCAGATGGAAATAAACGGCGAGCTCATCAGTGGCAATCGGATCCTCTCTGAAACTAACGGCGCTAAGAGGGATGGACGTACAGTCTAGAGCAAGGGGGGCGGGGCGCTAAATGGAGACAACAGAGAGTCCATCAGGGTTTATTCATCAGTATTCAAGGAAGAAAGTCATCAGAGAGATTGCAGATAGGAGTAGTCTAGTCACCAGAGAGCTACAGGACAGAAATCCAGCTTTTCCAGAATTAAGCAGTAGTCAGAATCGCCATCAGGCCACTTAATCCCTCTTTTTTGATTCCATGATCACGACCACCAATGATAACAAGAATTACTATCACCATCAGCAGCTTCCATTTCTAAACTCTGACGATTTACCAGGTTATGTGCTGTATGCGCCTCCTATCAGTTAATCTTTATCACATCCGATCACTAGACTAGGCACTAGGATTACACCCATTTTACAGATTAGCAAATAGCTCTTCCAATTACCCATTCAGAAAGTCCTTATCTTTAAGCATCCTTTATCCAAAATCCTTATGATCAAGGAAAGAATATAAAGGTCAAGAATATTCCAGGCTCTCAAAAAGGATTTCCCTTGATGTGTGTGAGTCTGTACTTCCTTTTTCATATTCAGTAAAGGACAGAGAAAACAGAAGCAGTCAAGAAGACATGGTCAGTCACTCATAAACCCTGAAGAATCCTAAGCTCCAGTCTTCTTTGCGGCAGACAAGTTGGCCTTCACATCATTGGATCATCCTCTGGCATGAGGAAGAGTCACACTGGCTAACGCAGCGGCAGCTTAGAGGTGGGGGACAGGTGAACCAATCAGAACAACTTGAATAACTTGACACGAGTACGGAAGGCAATGATTTCACTTCCTGCTTCTTATTCTGTGTAAAGGAGAGAAGAAAAGACTTCTCCCTCATCACCCTAAAAAGAAGAAGAAGAAGAAGGGAAAAAAAAAAAACCACCAAGCCAGGGCTTGGCAATTAGTGTTGGAGTAAGTGATCATCTTGTGATTGCTCAGCTGGGGCCTGAAGACTTGTAAATGCATTTAGCGGACAGAAATAGAAGATGTTGTGAGAGAGCAGAGAAACCTGGCCCACTTGCCAGGAGAAAATGTCCTGAAGCTGCCGGGAAATTCACTCAGTCGGGATTTGGGGTGTGTCTTCGTAAATGGGAAAAGTTAATAAATAAACCCATCGTGGAAGCCAGTACATATGCCTCAAATTCCTGACTCTTCTGTCAGGGATCCCCAGGCTCTTCCGGCAGCCCTGCCATGCCTAGTGGAGCCCCTGGGCCAGGTGTTGACCTTCTGACATCCATCTGAGCATCCAAGTCACCCTCAAGGTGCAGACAGGCCCAAACTGGGGCTGGACTGATGGTGACCCATCTTTCTCCCTCTTGATCCCTTTGCGGTTAACAGCAAGTACTTTGGCAAGAGCTGGCCAATGTGTCCAGGGGCAAACAGGGTCCAAGGTCATGGGCAGGCTCACTGGTACCATCATAACCTGCTCCAACCAGACCCTTCCTGACCCCAAAGCCTTGGGAATCTTGTAAAGCCCCACCTGCCCATCACTGCCATCACCCGGCAGACCCAGATCATCCCAAAAGGGACAGTGAGTTGCAGCCCTCTTTGGACTCTCACATGTAAGTCAAAGACATGTTCCAGTACGACCCACTTTAGAGACACCTGTAGCCCAAGATACAGCCCTCCTCCCACCTCTGTGGCCTGTGGAAACGCAATGGGTCTGGAAGCCCACCCAGGTTCCCTGAGAGCTGGGGTGACACAGTGCCCTAGCAGGCTCTGAGCACCCAGCCACTGTCCTCAAAGGGGACAGAGCCTTTCCCATGTTGGCGGCTTCTGTCTCCCAAGATAACCCCAGACCACAAAGTGCCCTCCGGATGTCATAGTCTGCCCACAGGCTAGTTCTGCTCGGGCCACCTTGTCAAGAGGTTCTATTTTTAGTTGTCAGTATTTGAAACTTGAGAGGTGTCACCAGACCTCTAGCTCTTCTTGAAAAAACTACATCTGGCAACCCAAGGCCCCACCTCCTCATGACAGCAGTCAGCTGGAACTGCTTGCAGGCTGACCCCTGAGAGGTGACATGTGGCCCCCAGCCTCCACTCTCCCCACCTAGTCCACCGTGGGCATTTGGCTTTGTGACCCTTGGGTGTGTTAGTATGAAAAGGAGATGTCTCAGAGGTCAAAACCTTCTTCCCCTGGGATAGTTTACATTGAAACTCAAATCCCCAATAAAACAAACACCTGCAACATCTGGTCCAAGGCCCTCTTCTCATCCCAGCTATGCCCCCAGCGGCAAAGAACACACATCAGGAGAAGCCCACTACAGAGGCTCAGCCAGGGGCAGGGGGCAACGGCTAAGTGAGGTGGCTGAAGGGGAGGTCTTGGTCCCCCACAGCTACTACCTCAGGCCCTGAGCAATGGCCGTACAGTGTTCTAAGCCCTGAGGGAGGAAAGGAAGTTCAGCACAAAGAGGGGTGGCCATAACTGATTTAAAAAAAATTTATCGAGCACTCTCTACGTGCTTGGGAAAACACACAGAGGCCAGGGGTGAGGCCAGGACCCCTGGGAAGAGAAACAACTCCCCCACCACACTTCTCTACCATCTTTTCTCTTTCCCTCCCTCCCATCTCTGCCACCCCCCTGGGATGCTCTGTCTCTTCCCATGAAAGTCCTGTGCAGCCGGGATGTCCTTCCACCATCAAACGCAAAGTGCCTGGGTCAGTGCATCTCTCACGTGGCCAAAGGAAAGGTCCGTCTGTACCCTGTCCCTCCATTTTCTCCCTAAATACAGTAAAGACTCCATCCCACCCCCTGGCTCCTGTGGAATCTCTGCTCTTGGAGAACACGCCCAGTAGATGCCCGGATGACCACCATTCTCAGAGAAAACTTGACCGCACAGCAAGGACCTCCCACCACGGGTACAGACTGTTGGCACTTCCCCTAAGCACTGGCCCTAGGCTTCCTGTCAAGCCCACCTCTCCCCAGGAAACGGTGGTCCTCCCATCGAATCCCAGAGAATTCAGCCAGAACTAGGCTTGCAGTGGAAGCACCAGGTTCATGTGATTCCATCCTCACAGGTCTGGACAGAGCCAACCCTGAGGACATGGCAGGTAGTGGGAGGAGAGAGGCAGGAGGAAGGAGGCACAGACAGGATCCCACCAGAGCCATGTGACCTCCAGCTTGACCCAAAGCTGTGTGGCCTTATGTACCTGAGTCTCCACTTTTCAAAGCTCTTCTGCATTGAACCCGGAATCTATTTAGACATGACACTTGGTTTCCCTCTTCCAACCCCCACCCCAGCACATGCACACACACACACACACACACACACACAGACTGAGAAGTGTAGTAGTCACATCACATACTACACTTACGTGGGGAATTTCCTCGCACTTACGTTCCTATAAAATTGCAAATTGCATCATGGGACACAAACAAACTTGAGAGTCAACAGACCCTCCCTCTAAGCCCTGGTCCTAGGCTTTTCCTTCTGACAGGAACCCTAGAGATCATCAAATCCCAAACCCTCATTTTAAGAGGCAAAATCTAAGTCCCAGAGAAGCAAAGGGACTTGTCCCAGGACACACAGTGGCAAAGCCAGGTCCAGGTCTCAGGCCTTGGGCTTCACTGCCCAGGACCCTGCCTCCCTGCCACATGCCCCCACCCACCCATCCACACGCTGCCGCTCTACTCACATATAGCGCAAGTGGGGATTCTTGGCGAAGGCTCTGGGCTGGATGCTCCGAAGTCCTGAGTTCTTGATGGTCCTGGAGAAAGAGAGAAAAAGAGGGTCAGTAGAGCTCACAGGGCAGAGAAACAGCCAGTCAGCCCAAGGCTGGACTGCAGCCGCCCCTGTGAACTGAATGTACCTCTTCACCATCAGTCATCATGGGGTGGTCCAGTCTGGGGGTCCAGTGGGAGGCCTCTGGGCTTACACCCCACTGAGACCTGGGTAAGGTTGAGGGATGTGCCCATCCCAGCACGTGGGTAAGAGTCTGGTTCAGCGACCACAGGGCTGCAGCCCTATTTGTGCCTCCTTCCTTCCCCCATCCTAAATCCCCATGGCCTCTCACACTGAGTCCAAAGGAGGAGATGCCTGGAAGTGTCCTGCCGCACGGGTTCCATCAGTTAAGCGCAGGGCTGAGGAAGGAACACTAGCCATGGAGACTGGGTTCAGGTCCTGCCTTGAACCCTAAGTACGGACTGACCCAGCCCACCCCAGGAGCGGGCGCACTCACAGCTTCTGGAGGCCAGTGTACAGCTCCATGTCCACGGCGTTGAGCGTGTGCAGACCGCGCCAGTTCTCTATGTGTCTGCAGGGAGGAGAGGAGAGGGCGCAGGTCAGCAGAGGGGCCGTGGGAAAGGCGCTGGTTCAGAGCCAGAGACCTAGGTTTCAATCCCAGATCAGCCAACCATGAGCTGGATTTTCCACCAAGTCACCAAACATCTCTGAGCCTGTTTCTTCCTCTGGGTGGTACCACGCACACCACCTGGCTGACGGGGTCCCCCACCGTGAGATCCCAAGCGCCAGGCCCACGAACAGCATCTAACATCCCCCCTACAACCGGCTCCAGAAAGACTATTCTTTGAAGATGTGAGACCCAATCTCCCTGTGGGGCATCTGAACTTAGTTTCCTTCCATTCTCCTTCCTTCTTTTGCATTTCTAGGATTTTTTAAAAACGGGCTCATTTTCCAAGTTCTTGCCCATAAAGACAGTAGAAATGACATACCAAAACTCAAGTGTGGTTGGGGGCGGGGTTGGTGTTTGCTGGTGGATAAGGCTTTTGGGTGGAAAAGTCCAGAAGAAACACACACCACCTCAGGGTCCCCCAGGGTTCAGACACCAACGGCCCCGTTTGAGTGACCACAGCCCAATCCACCTGGGACTCAAGAACATCAATGACTTGAACAGACTCCACAAGGGAGGGGCACCCAGGAGGCACCGCGGTGTCACAGCAGGAACGTGAACTTGAGGCTGGCAGTCAGCGAGCCCGAGTCCAGCGTCATCTCTGTGACTCAAGCAGCTGTGACTTTCAGCTCCCTGGGCCCATGGTCTCTCCATTTGTAAAGGGGGAAGTTTGCACTAGATCAGCAGTTTCTCCCCCTTCTCTTTACAAAGATCTCCTTCAGAACTTTCTCCTGAGACTTCACGTCTAGGGAGGTTTGTGTCAAGCAAGAACACAGCATTTATTAAGTAACGATTATTCATCTTCTCCAATTTATTAATCAAAGATATAAATCACTGTTAACTAGTGCTTTTTTGTCAACAGGCATAAACCAGCGCTAACTCACCCAGTGGATAAACTCCAGCTCAAAGCAAGGGAACTGGGAAGGACTGTCAGCGTGGGAGGGCTTCCCATGGGTGTGGATGTGCCTTCCTTTGCTTCTTTGTTTTTTTTATATTGACAAACATCCTCCATTACTGCTTTCGGGGTCCAGGTTGAGAACCATTAGACTATCCGTGACCAAGGTCCTTTCCAGCTCTAGAAAGCTACAGACACACCCTCGACCCCAAGGCGCTCCAAAGGACCACAGGAAAAGGCCTCCCTCTGCCATGCTGCCCTCCTGGGGTTCCGTCAGTGCCCCCGAGGTCTAAGGGCTCAGCGAGGAGTGTAGAGCAGTGACAGCTCACCCTGGGACAGAGCTGCCTGATGCACAGAAAAGTGGCAGCCATCTTCCCCAGACATCCCCTCCCTGGCCCCACCCCACCCGTGGCTCTGCCATCTGCCACCAAGTGGAGCCAGAGCCAGGAAGGCCACAGAGCAGCGGTGGCCGGGGCCTCTGGAAGACTTTCAGAGCCGCACAGTGACTAGGGACGCCAAGAGCCCTTTTTGAACCACATTCTCCCAGAGCCCCTGCTAAGCAGCCAGACACACTGGCATCTGCCGGGGACATGGACCAGGTGGCCAGGTCGGTACTGAAATCCAGCTCCGAAGTCTTCTCCCTGGAAGCCTCATGGCCCCAGGACAGTGTGCTTGGTCTGGTCTCGCCAGGGCAGGGACCCTGGCTCCACGTCAGATGAAAAGGAAGGGCCAGAAGGAGCAGACGGACCTGTGCCAGCCCCACCCCCACCCAGGGTATTCACGGGGTCATCGGTCCGTGGAAACCACCAAGCAGGTTGCGGCGTTCCTACAGGCTACCCTTCATTCACCGGAGCCGGGCTCCAGACAAGAACTACCCACAACCAGCAGCTGTCAATCAAGCTGTTTAAATAACGGAAATAATTTTTCTTAGCCCACATTAGAACTCCATAAATGTGTTTTGATTGTGGCTGAGTTGTCCATCATTATTGCACTCAAATGCTTCACCCTTCTCAGCCCTCCTGACCCCGTGCCCCAAAATGACCCTTCCTCTGCACAGGCACGCACTGAGGTATGGCAGGGCAATGAATGAAGTCCCAGGTGCACAAGGCTCCCTGGCCAATAGAACGGCCCCTGCATCCTCTTCTGAGTCTGAGCTTTCCTATATCGGGGAACAGCCTTTTTACCGCAACAGTGTGGTTAGGACCCGGGGCTCTCAAAGCAGGTCAGCAAACGGCTGATTCCAGCCTGCCACCCATTTTTGTACAGTTTGAATCATTTTTTGTATAGCTAAGAATCATTTTTACATTTTTTAAAAAATCAAAAGTAGAATCCTATTTTGTGACATGTGAACAGTATGTGAACTTTAAATGTCAGCGTTCATATCCTTCCATTTACTCTTGGCTATGGCTGTTTTTGTACCACAAAGATGGAGTTGAGTAATTGCTACAGACACCCCCCCCCTAAAATAGTGACTTTCTGGCCGTTTATAGAAAAAGGTTGCTGACCTCTGCCTAGAGCCAGGCTACCAGGATGCAGATCCTGGCCCCAATACTATTTCTGTCTCTTGGACCCTCCAGGTTACTTCGCCTGTCTGTGCCTCAGTTTCCTCATCTGTCAAATGGGATGAATAAAATACCTCCAGAATAAAGGATGTGAGGATTGAAAGACTGCTCTACGAAGCCCTTACGGCAGCTGGGGGCGCATGTTAAGTCCTCAAGAAGTGCCTGCCATGCTGATTACCTTTAACCCTGTGCTTTGTAGAGGCTAAGCAGCCTTTTCTCAGTTTTCCAGCTAAAAAAATAAAAAGGGTATCCCGGTTCTCCAGAAGTTGTCACTTCTCAGCAATCATTGGTTAAAAAAACTCAAAGTGGCAGAGGGTGGAAGGGTAGTAAGCCTGTCATTCGTGACCTCCAGGAAAATTGTTCAAGCTGAAATTATAAACAGGTTCAGAGGAAGCACAGCCCGCAGCTGGGAGCAGATTCCGAGGGACACGCAGGGTGAGGAAGGTGCAGCCCGACATTTGCAGATGACATCGACGGGGCGCCTGCCAAGTCTTCCCGATGACTCACCACTTGGTACCAGCCCCGGAGGGTCAGTTATGGTAACTCTGCTGACTGCTTTGTGCTAATAGGGATGCCACAAGTTTAAGTGGAAAAAGCAGACTCTGAAAATATAACAAATAAATAAGATAAAACATGAGAGCAGTCTGGTTTGCTTTCGTTCGTGGTAAACAGTGGTCCCCTCCGCCTAATGCCCAGTACTGCTATTCGTGACTTCTTTTTATGTGCTTTTCTGGGTGGCCCACGTTGCTGTCACCAAGAAATTTTTTTTTCTGTCATGTAATAAACAAAGGGCAGGTTAGGCCCTTGAACCCTGTGTGGGGCAGTCACTGGTCACTCTGATCCAGGACCACAGGATGCATCAGCCCATCCCTGTCACAGAGGGAAAAGAGCTCAGAGTGATGCCGGGAACATGGGTCAGCGAGACTGCCAGATTCTGCCTCTGTCCGCTCAGGCTCCAAGTGCGTGGTGGTGGCAGGCCCTGCATAGACCTGCGGCCTTGTTCCCAAAATATGTGCCCCCGCTTTAACCAGGACCAGTGAGGGGGGAGAGAGGACAAAGAGGTGGCTTCCAGGCTCCCACCCCTACTTTAATTACCTCCACTCTAGTCCCTTTACAAGTGCTTCCCAAGCAGAAGTGATTCTACCCCACCCCATCTACCCCCAGCCTAGGGGACATTTGGTGATGTCTGGAGACAGGGTGGTCACAACTGGGGGAAAAAGAGTGACATTGGCATCTTCAGGGATGCTCCAAGACATTTCAGTAATGCACAGGGCAGCACCCCCACAACAGAGGATTATCAGCCCAAAATGTCCATAGCACCAACATTAGGAAACCATGCTTTCTTATATAAGGCTTCTGCCTAAGATTCCATTGAACAAACAGTTCCACAGCTTCAAACAAAAACAATTTTGAAAATGACCATTTTGCAGCAAACACAAAAAGGCCCCAAGCCAAAACCAAAAGGCCCACCTCTAGGTCACAGGGTCCAGGTGAGAGAAGACAATCAAAAGCCACAGTTCTCAGGACACTCTCGTGACAAGGACACTACCTGAGAGGAAAGGAGGGGTCTTTGGCCCGCCGGACCATGGCCCAAGTCAGGTTACACGTTCTAGAAGCAATAATGGTCCCTTCTTCTCACCACGCGCTGGCTGGGATCCACTGGCCAAGAGCCTTTTCTGTCCCTGAAATTTCCCCTTCTGCATTTCTAAGGCCTCTTCATTGCACGGAAATATGAAACATTCCATCCAGAGAGCTGACCCAATACCCTGTCCCAAGCCTCTCAACACTGCCCTTCCTTGACATCACAGAATCACCACTCTCTGCCAGGAGCCAATGTGCAACATTTTTCCAGAGAGAGGGAGGAAGTGAGTCTTAATTCATGACAGCACTGAGCTCCAGAGCCAGCACTGGGCTTAGGGCTACAGGTCGGAAAACCTCCATGAGGTCTAAACGGCCCCGCAGTCAAAGGACAGGCTGCTGCCAGGTGGGCTGGAGTGGGATAGAGCCACCTCCAGGGCCTCACCCAGCACCCTGTCCCAGGGACAGATAAACCCCATCCACAGAGAGCCACTTCCTACCCACGTGGGGATGAGCCAATGTGAAGTGAAGTATTAATACATTTGCAGGGAATATAAAAATCCTTTGTGCTAGAATAAATCCAATTGTGCTTTTGTACCACAGCTTCCTCCTCCTTCTGTTTGGCTTGGGCCGATCTGGTAATGAATTGGCACTCTACGAGCATATAAAAATCGACGGTACAGACTGTGGTCTCTATTTTAATTAAAAATGTGCCATGTGGATATGCTTAAGACTTGTTTATACCTCCAATATTTAAGTCCTCTAAACACAGAAAACTCTGGAACACCGAGACGTCCACCCCCGTCCAACCCCAGGAGACTGAGGTTGTTGAGGAAGCCCATGAGAGGAGCACCTTCACCTGGCAGAAA